CAAATCTCCTAAAACAAACCACAAACCTCACAAAGCAAACCACAACATTTGCCAAAGCACACCAGAAACCTCAGAATGCAAACCAAAAACACAGTAAATCAAACCACAAAAAGCAAACCATAAACGTCCTAATGCAGACCACAAATATATTAAAACAAACCCGAAACCCCTCAAAGCAAACCAAAAATTTTCATAATGACAATTATATCCCTGCTTTAATTTTACACTAGGTCAACTCAGCTAATAAAAAGTCATCACAACCCTAGCTTCCTATTGGTTGGAGACTATTGTTGTTACAATAACAATAAATATGGTGTTGCCACCATATCCGCTCCCTTGTTCACCTCTATGTGCAGGAGCCCGACCGTGTTGGGCTCGCGCGAGCGGGAAGATGGGCCGGAAGAGGGTGGAGGTGGTCCGGCCGAGCTCTCGTCCGGCCCGTTGGCGGTGGCAGAGATCCAGGACACGCCGTACTTGTTGTCGAGCTGCACGAACTTCTTGTTGTGGCTGCAGCGGAGGTGGATTGGGTCGGATCCGGACAGGCTGAGCGGGTCCAGGTGCCGTTTTCAGCCCAGGTATTGACGTATGGCCCAAAAGATTCGCCGTTCTAGTTGGTAGTGCAGGTATTTCCCGTCGAACTTGGATTTCAGCACCATGAATTTCGGCAATCCGGCCACTGTCAACATCGCGCTCTCTCTCGGTTTCGAATGGATGGATTGCTTTCTCTTTTGTACAACTTTTCGAGAGGAGACTTTTCTACAACTGAAACAAGGATCAGTGGCGGCTGCTAGCTGCTCGTGGACTGGTCGGCTGAGGAGGAGATGGTGGAGCAGCAGGGGCGCGGCCGCGCGGGTCGGGGAGGCAAATGGTGGAGAGAGGCGGCGTCGTGGAGGGAGATGGTGGAGAGCGGTTGGCGTCGGGGAGGAAGAGTCAGATCAAAACGGCTGTGTCGGGCAGGCAGCAGGCGGCAGGGAGAGTCAGGGCAGGTAGCGGCGGCAGGGGAGAGTCATGGCAGGTAGCGACAGGGAGAGTTAGGGCAAGGGTCTCGCGATGCAGAGGAAGTGGAAGGGGACAAGGGGTTAGAGGAGGGGTGGAATGGCGGATCGATTAGGCAGCCTTAGGGTTAGGGTGGAACGTGGAAGGAGGGGTGGGGTGGCATCATTTTTACAAGGGGAATGATGTACCGATTAGTCGGTTTAACCGGTGGTTATAACTGATTGGAGTAGGCGCAAACGACCCCATTGGAGCCCTGATTGAAGAATGTCCGCACGTGGCAGTTGGTCTGCACGTGCAGGAGTCCGACCGTGTTGGGCTCGCCCGGTGGGAAGATGCCCAACATCTTACCGCTTTCCAAATCCATGATCGCTTCATCCTCTTCCCTATCGTCATTATCTCTGGCCCCGGCATTTTGATACTTTATCCAATCCTCCGCACAAATCAATGCCTCCAACATGATATCACTCAAAGAAGACCTAAATGGATTGAGAATCCGACCGCCTTAGCTGGAGGTTGCCTCTGAGGCAACAGAAGAGATGGGAACAACTAGGATATCCTTAGCCATCTCGGCAAGAATCGGATATGTTCCAGAGTGTCGAGACCACCAACTCAAGATGTCAAACTTGGCATCATCACTCTCCTCATTGATGCCACAAGTTTGACATCTTAAATAGATGTCAAGCTCAGCAGAGCTACCTCTTATATCCTGCAGAAGTGCTTCACTTTTCCTCTTCCTAAGCCTCTCCTCGAGTTGCTTAATCCTATCACCACCAGTCGTGCTCTCACCAGTGGTAGGCTCAGAGAGGAGGGTTCTTTTGATCCATACTTCCCTTTGTAAACCTCAAACAGCTGTCGCATTTTCGTTCACTCTTCCCTTCACATTCCCATACATCATTGCCAAAACCTCGGACACCAAATCAAGTTTACTTCTTGGATCAAGCACACATGCTATATAAGTTAAGTGGTTCACCTTCATGCTCTTCTCGTTCACAACACAAACCAATACTTTTGTACCTTTTCCTAAACCTTCTCAGCCATCTTTTGGATCTCTTCATGCAGACCATTTTTCAATTGCTCAATGATGTCATATACCGTAACAAGATTCTTGAAGAAGATATGGATGGTCACATATTTAGTTCATGTACAATGAGAAGATAACACAGAAGGTTAGAATAACACAAATAGAAATGGGCAAATGGTTAAAATTTTAAATAAAACAATGCAATTCAAAAATTTCACTAACAAGAGACTAGAAGGGTCAATTCATTGAAAACTTTCAGATAGTCTTTCAACTTCCTAATCATATGCCAATCTTGATTAGTTGAAAGCCCACCTCTTGAGTCCAGATAATCTCTAAGAGAATGATCGTGTGGACTTGAATACAAAGTTGTAAACACTGCATCAAAACTTTCTGCTGACTCTAACGTGGTATAGGTGGAGCCCACCTGGTCCGTACATCCAAAGACACCAGTTTGGTTGACTCCACATGCAGAAATTCCATGCCATTCTTGAACCGTAACAACCTAGCTGGTGAAGACTTCACTCACTTCACACAATCCCGAACTCTGTCCACAGCACCACCAACCATTTTCAGTCCATCTTGTACCTTCAGACCTTCCTTTTAGTAAAAGATGGGTTTGCAGATTAATCATGTGTGCAACACATCGAAACTGCAGAAACTTCACATCCATCAAATCACACCCCCACTCTTTTAGCTTCGTACTCATGCACTCACTGACAACATCAATTGAAGTTTTATTGTCCATGGTCATGCAGAGCAGGTTCTTCACCTTCCACTCTTCAAGAACTCCTGCAAGCTTCTTTGCAATATCAACTCTAGTATGACTTGTGATGGGAACAAAGACTATCACCATCTTCTGCAACTTCCAATCACCTCCAATAAAGTGAGCAGTAACACACATATAATTCATGTTATCAGAATTCCATGTATCCGTAGTGATTGAAACTCTTCCTTGGCTCCTTGATTTTAAAAAATCAATTAAATCCATCTTTTTATCCAAGAAGATATGAAAGCATTCATCTCGTATAGCTTTCCTCCCGGGTATCCTAAACAGTGGCTGAACAGTACACATGAATTGCTTAAATCCTTCCCTCTCTACAAAGAGAAATGACAATTCATCCATAATGATCATATTGGCTAATGCATATCTAGCTTTTCCCTGATCAAACTTCCATAAACCACTTACTTGACCACCTTCTGATGTCTGCAATACTGTCTGATTTTTTGTTGCTGCCAACTCAGCCAAACATGAGTGCATGTGGTTATTCATTGCAGTGGTCGCATTTTTGTGAGGATGAGCTTTTATTAGAGTATGACAGTGTATGCACTCTCCCATCGAGTAGCTGTCAACTATCAGCTTCTTAAACACCTTCCAACAAGAAGCTTTACCCACCGTCTTCAACCATTTCTCGCAGTAAAAAAGGTCTTCTGTAGCTGTCTCTGAACCAGGAGCACCCGTGTCAACAGAAGGAGTCTCGGCAGGTGTACTTCCACTATTGACAAGGGTAGGAATCGATGGACTTGATGAAGACGGTTCAGCTTCAGTAGCTTGAACAGGTCGACTTCCTGTACGCCCACCACGACCCCGGGTCTGAAGAGGAGCAATCGCACTACCACGACCTCGAGGAGCCGGAGGTCTCCCACCACGAGGAGCAGTCGCATCAGTAGGGACACCTCTTCCGCCACGTCCACCACGAGGAGCCGGAGGTCTCGCTCTACAAAAGCAATTACACAAATCAGTGGCCATAATTCACACACACATAACACTAATTTCTCTAACAACAAATACAAGCATGTCCTGCTGCCCACAAGTACAAGCCATTTCATTAACAATAACAACGACAAATCTTAATTTTAACCATGCAAAGTGTTAATGTCAAGGAGCCAAGGAATCTAATTAACTTCTGTTCATTTCTCTTCTGGTTGGTCATAATCTAATTTTAAATAAAGCTAATTTTAACAACACCACCAACCAAGATTCTTTCAACTCCATTTCTCACAATCTCCACCACCAATTTACAACTTTCATCACTCCACTTCCATCCATCACAAATTCACATCAGATTTATCCATAATAACTCACATCAGCTTGATCGGAGGGGAGGAAACGAGGAACAGTGGTGGCTGCTGGCTGCTCGTGGACTGGTCGGCGGAGGAGGAGATGGCGGAGCAGCAGGGGCGCGGCCACGCGGGTTGGGGAGGCAAATGGCAGAGATCAGCGACATCGTGGAGGGAGATGGCGGAGAGCAGCTGGCATCGGGGAGGGAGAGTCAGGGCGGAACGGCTGCGTCGGGCAGGCGGTGGCGGTAGGGAGAGTCAGGGCGGCGGCGACAGGGAGAGTCAGGACACTGGTCTCGCGATGCAGAGGAAGTGGAAGGGGACAAGGGGTTAGAGGAGGGGTGGAATGACGGATCGATTAGGCGGCCTTAGGGTTAGGGTGGAACGTGGAAGGAGGGGTGGGCCGGTGTTGTTTTTACGAGGGGAATGATGTGTCGGTTAGTCGGTTTAACCGGCGGTTATCACTGTCGGTTAGTCGGTTAACCGGCCTCTCTAACCTCGCTACCGAACACTGCCCGCGCCCGTTAATTTAGGTTAGTTGGTTAACCGGTAATCGACAGTTATCGATTTAACCGAACGGTTAACCGGCAACCGATAACCGAACCTCCAGCCCTAAGTGATATACTAGACATGTTTTTGAAAATTGCCCCATGAATTTGACACAAATTCAAATATCAAATGTAATTAATATCCAAACACATGATTTGAATTTGTTATTTGGAATTTCAAATCACAAATACCAAATCTAAATCATACTATCCAAACACCTTGTAGGAATTTCCAATAAATTGTTGTCCCAGTAAACCAACGACGACAGTAAACACAATTCGATGTCATAAACTCACCATTTCATTTCGCTTGTTATATTGGTATATTAGACACTCAAGTTTATGCCGTCGACGATACAACGATTAGGCCATGACCACTAGCCGGATGCTGCTTTCAACTCGTCAATCTCCCTACACGCATCTTCCAGCTGCACTCTCAGCTCCGCTATCTCCATCCGCAGCTCCGCCACTATCTCATCAGCTTGCAGACACTCATCGCTGCCGCCGCCACCGCCACCGCCACCGCCCTTGCCCTGTGATTTCAGCTTCTGGATCTCATCACCTTTAGCCTTCATCTTCTCCTCATAAGACGCTCTCAGCTTCTGGATCTCCCCGTCTTTGGCACTCACATTCGCCGCGTTAGACGCTCTCAGCTGCCGGATCTCGCCTTCTTTGGACGCCATCTTCTCGTCGTACGACTCCCAAGCCGCGAACTCGAACCGGTGCATGCCTTGGCCGTCGTTGGAGTAGGCGCAAGCGACCCCGTTGATGTCGTCGTTGTAGCCCTGGTTGAAATATGTCCGCACGTGGCAGTTGGTCTGCACGTGCAGGAGCCCGACCGTGTTGGGCTCGCCCGGAGGTAAGATGGGCCGGAAGAGGGTGCAGGTGGACCGGGCCGTGCTCTCGTCCGGCCCGTTGGCGGTGGCGGAGATCCAGGACACGCCGTACTTGCTGTCGAGCTGCACGAACTTGTTGTTGTGGCAGCAGCGGAGGTGGATCAGATGGGCCGGGTCGGATCCGGACGGGACGACCTCCAGCTTCACGAACGGGCTGAGTGGGTCCAGGAGTCGCTTGCATCCCAGGTCGTTGACGTACAGCCCGAAGGAGTCGTCGTTCCAGAGGTAGTGCAGGTATTTCCCGTCGGACTTGGATTTCAGCACCATGAATTTCGGCAATCCGGCCACCGTCGACATCGCACTCTCGATCTCGGATGGATGGATTGCTTTCTCTTTTTTTACAACTTCTCGAGGGGAGACATTTTCTGTGTTAGAGTAATGAGTATAAAGCTTTGAAGGGTAACCAAGTCAATGCCGAAAGTCGTTGGGTAATAGCACAAACAACAAGTGGTAGCCGGTAGGTAATTGCCTTAGTCTTCTTTTCTTTATTAAATGTGAGAAAGGGAGAGAAAGAAGTTACAAAACTAAAGAGCAGAGAAACAAGGTTTTTCATTAGCTCGACACTGAAGAAGAAGATTAGGATCGTTCAATGAAATAATCCACCGTAGAGATCCCCTATTCTTCTCCTTCTTCCTCCTTCTCCTTTATGAACTATTCTTTGTTGTTTGGGTGAGATTAACTCTAAATATACTAATTTGGTTTGATTAATATAGACATCAGTGTTTTTTCTAGGCTTAATACCCTAGTATGGCCCGAAGTTTGGCACAAGTGACAATTCTGGCCTCATTTTTCAAATAAGACATTTATGACATACTTTTAAAATTATTGGACAAATTTGGCCCAAAATTTTCTTTGACCGTTAATATTAACGGTCAAACACGATTTCGTTAGTGACTCAGCAAAAAACAGATGATGTGGCATGCCATGTCATTAAATAGTATTATTTTAATTTTATAATACAATTAAAATACAAATTAAAAAATTAAGAAGAAAAAAAACTCTAAATTAAAACAACCTCTTCGTATTAACAGGAGGGAGTCGCCTCCTCCTCCAACAACCACCATTCTGCAGCCTCTCCCTTCCTTCCCAAAACCCCAACCACTACAATTTCTTCTTCTTCTTCCATTACATTCTAACTTTCCCATCCACCGATTCTTCTTCCCTTCAAGAGAAGCCATCCAAAGATTAAAGAAATTCCAAATGAAACCCTAAACACATGGGCGCTGCTCAGGGGAAAAGAGAAAAATTCATGAAGATCCGCCACCTATGGAGCCCAAGTTTCACCACTTCCGACTCCGACTCCACCCATTGTGCTTGATCAGCGACGCTAGGAGATCCTTCGCCGGAATCGAGACGGCGGCGCCGCCACTGCGGGACTTTCTGAAACTCGGAGCTCCGCTGCTCGGAGCGAGGTCGACCATCTCCACAGCCTGAACCTCACATTCCTGCCAGTTGAGAGCCTCGAGATCTTGCTTGACTTGGTCGTTCGACGGTAAGAAATTACTGCCCCGCTACTGGAAGAACTCGCCCTTTTTTTTTAAATCAATCTTCGCCGAATAAAAGGCAGGAGAAGGTGAAATTAGTTAATGGGTTCCCTATCACAAGGCGAAAAAATTGATGGGAAGCATCACAGATCGATGGGTCCTCATCATTGGGGTTCGGGTCAGAGGTACGGCGACAAGGGCGATCAAAACCACCTCTCCGGACATACATAGGTGGGTTCTCACTTCCGGCAGCAATGGTGGAAGGAGTGACGAGGAAAAGAAAGAGAGGGGTGAATGGATAGAAAAATGAATGGTGGGAGCGTGGCGGAGGAAGTGGTGGGAGCGGCGTCGCGGTGCTCCTCGGAGAAGTCATTAACGGAATTGTGTTTGACTATTAATATTAACGATTAAAGAAAATTTTGGGCAAAATTTGTCCAATAGTTTCAAAACTAGGCCACAAATGTCTTATTTTAAAAATGGGGCCAGTTGTCAATTGATGTTGGTATTTTGATTGCTTATATGTTTTCCTATTATCTATTTCTATTTTGTCTTTTGTAGTGGCACTAGAAAAAGGCGATCACTAACCCACCAACTTTATAAATTAGATTAACTAATATTACAAATCCATTCTACGAAGAATACGAACTAGGCCAAGAAACATTACAATGAGAAATAAGAAACATTACAAGTCATTAGTATTTACAAGTTATTCTTACAAACATTAAAACCAAATTTATAATTATTATAGGCAAAATTGATGTGTGTAGCCAAAACTTTGACATTTATGGCAATAATAGTCACTTTTGGAAAAATACCAATAATACACAGAATTTTGAAAATTTGATAACATCGTTAGTCAAATTAACGGAAAGCTTACCTGGCCACCAACACACACTCTCTATCGTTTCCACCTCAGCATTCAGCGACAAGTGGATGACACGTTATTTACAAAAGTATTTTTTTAACTCTACCCAAATCTAAAAAAAATATAAAAAAACCCCATCCCCTTCCCAATCTCATATGCTCGTCTTCCCACCTCTCTCCATATCTTCCTCTTCTCGATGACCTAGAGCGTCGAGGGCTGTTCACCCCCCGGGAGATCGTCGAGATTGTCAAGCAGAGGCGGAAATTCGAGTACAGATTGAAGCACCCGAGTCCTCTAAAGCAGGACTAGCTATTTGACCTACATAGAGTACGAGACTCAGCTTGACAAGCTTCGCCGCCTTCGCAAGAAATCCATGGCCCGGGACATCGATAAGAATAAGGATGACAAGAGGATGAAGCTCTCGGTCTCTGACTTCGTCGGAGTGTCGAGCAGTGGCGGAGGTAGCAGTTCAAACCACTCCTGTCCTCTTCTCATAATGTAAATATATAAGTATTTAATTAAGAATTATTTAATAAAAATTAATTATACTTAATTATATCATATTAATTCATTCATAGATTAAAAATAATCGACTATACAACCATTGTTTTCATTAATAACCATGAAGGGATTTCATATTGTGAAAGAACCGCAAAAATATTATAGCTGGCAAATAGCAGAGCAACCGCCCAGCTTCATCGTTTCATCTTACCCGCCATCGTCTGAGGGTTTCGATCTAAAGACCAGAACCCAGTAAGAGAAAAGGCTGAAATCGACTAGCCAGAGCTTTTACCTCCATCCGCGCCGCTTATGTTCTTAAAGTCCCCAAATCTCCATGTCGTCGATCCCAATCCCAAAAGTCCATCTCTTTTCCAAATCCCTAGTCGCATAACAGAATCGCCATTCCCGACGACGATTGGTGCTGTGAGGTTCCCATTTTCGATTATTCAGGGTAGTTCTGGGTTTTGCAGTGCCATTCCCGATCTTATTCTCCCAACTTGGCTGCGATAGGAGATGAGAAATTCCTAAGAATCTTGGTTTGTCCAGCTTGCGGCTGCTGCGTACATGGTCCTCGGAGCAAGAATTCGAAGGCGAAAGATGAGGCGGAGGGGAAGGAGGAGGCAGTGGAGGAGTGGAATCGGAAGATGTGGCGGCGGCTCTAGTAGTGTTGGAGCCGTCGACTAGAGAAGTTTTTTGTTTTATTTATTTATTTGTTTTTATCTTTCATAAATCAAAAGGTCCAGCCTTTTGAAAATTTTAAATTTTAAATTTTAATTCTTATTATATTATATTATTTTTTAATTAAATTCACGTGGGAAATACGTATGGGACAAAATCGATTGAACGATACGTTAATCCAGTCAGCACACTAACTCACACTGTCAAATAATTGGACGGAAGTGGCTATTTTTTCTATTTTGCCAAAAGTGACTATATTTGGCCAAACCGTCAATATTTTAGCTACACAGTTGTATTTTGCCATTATTATAAACTGATTGACAAATATAATGAAGCGTGAATCGCTAATATTAAAAACCAATTTTACAAAACATTACAAACAAGACTAAGAAAACATTACAAATTTTTTATAAGATTACATATAAGACTAAGAAAATATTAAAAAATTATTCTTAACATATGTTTATGTGACTTGAATCGGACTATCAGCCGCTACGACTGGTAATCGACTAGCCAGAGCTTTTACCTCCTTCCGCGCCCATGGACATAGCTAACACACATCGTGTTAGTGAACCACGTAAATCATGTGTCTGTGTTTTTCGATTCTCGCTTTCGTATTCTTGCTTTATCGATTCCGGCGAATTCCCGATACGTAGCAGCACGTTTATAACAAGTGGTATCAGAGCCGCAGCTGGAAATCAGGCTAGGGTTTTCGATTCAGAAGAATGACGTCGGTGAACATGAAGATCAAAAAGTTCACGGGGAAGAACAGCTTCGCTATATGGCAGATCAAGATGCAGGCTTTATTAAAACAGCAAGGGCTGTGGGGGCCGCTGTCCGTGAAACAGAAAAAGGCAGTGGTCGATGACGATGAGTGGAATACCCTGAAGGAGAAGGCCCACTCGACCATCATGCTATCGTTGTCTGATGACGTCATCATTGAAGTCGTTGCTGCGAAGACTGTCGCGGGCTTGTGGTTGAAACTAGAGAGTCTGTAAATGACTAAGTCTCTAACCAACAAGCTGCATCTCAAGCAACGGTTGTTTAGCTTGAGGATGCAAGAAGGTACGCCTTTGAGGGAACACCTCGAACAGCTTAACTCTATTTTGCTGGATCTGCGTAATATAGACGTTCAAGTTGATGACGAGGATGCTGCCCTAATCCTACTGGTTTCTTTGCCGAGTTCATATGAGAATTTCGTTGATTCTTTTATTGCTGGTAAAGAAAGCGTGTCGTTGGAGGATGTCAGGTCTGCTCTTCATACGAGAGAGATCAGGCATAAGGCGTCCGGATCTGGTACAGGTGGTGAGGCATCGGGTTTGGCTGTTACAGGTGGAAAGGGAAAGAAGAAATCTGGTAAAGGGAATTCGAGCAAGAATTCCAAGGGTCCCGGTCCGCAGCCAGGTGATGCTTGTCACAACTGTAAGGAAGTGGGGCATTAGAAGTACAACTGTCCCAAGAGAAGAGGGAAACAGAAGAAACAAGGTTCAGTTGTCGTGGCAGAAGTGGACAACAGTTCTGAAGACGATCTCGCATTGGATGTAGATGAGAAGGCACATCGTGGGGATGTGTGGTTTCTGGATACTGCAGCCTCATACCATATGTCTCCGAATAGGGATTGCTTTACAACCTACGAGCAGATAGATGGTGGTAACGTGGTCATGGCACATGGAGCTGTCTGCAAGGTTGTTGGAATCGGGTCCATAAAGGTTCGGACACATGATGGTTTGTTCTGTACCGTGAATGATGTCAGGCATGTCCACGAATGACAAAGAACCTGATATCGTTGAGTCTACTCGACAACAAGGGTTTCAGCTTCAAAGGAAAAGGTGGAGTTGTGTATGTCTGCAAAGGAAAAGGTACCGAAGGGCGTGAAGCGTGGGACCTTGTATGCATTACAAGGGTCTGTGTTGTCCGGTTCTGCTGCAGTTGCATCGTCTCAGGTTCATTAGGAAGATATGACCACTCTCTGGCACATGAGACTGGGCATGTGAGTGAACGAGGGATGCAAGTTCTGTCGAAGAGGGATCTTCTTTGCGGGCACAAGGTGCAGAATTTGGAATTCTGTGAGCATTTTGTGTTTGGGAAGCTATATCGCAGCAAGTTTCCCAAGAAGGGTATCCACCGGACGAAGGGGATACTGGATTACCTCCACTCCGACTGTTGGGGTCCTTCACGAGTTGAATCCATTGGAGGCATCAGGTATTTTCTGTCTATTATTGATGATTATTCGAGATTTACTTGGATTTTCATGATGAAGCAGAAAAGTGAGGCTTTCACGAAGTTCAAGCATTGAAAGACATTGGTGGAGAATCAGACTAGGAAGAAGATCAAGAAGCTGCGAACGGACAATGGTCTAGAGTTCTGTAATTCTGAGTTCAACGAATTCTGCAAGGATAAAGGGATTGCCCGTCATCGGACCGTGAGAGATACACCCCAACAGAATGGCGTTGGAGAAAGGATGAACCAGACATTATTGAAGACTCATTATGAGGTGTGGTATGGTAAGCCTACTGATTACTATTCACTGAAAGTTTTTGGGTGTCCTGTTTATTATCATGTGGATGAGGGTAAACTGAACCCAAGGGCAAAGAAGGGTGTATTTGTGGGTTATGCAGATGGAGTTAAGGAATTACGAGTCTGGTCACCTTCTGAGCATCGAGTTATACTCAGTTGAAATGTGATATTTGATGAGAAGTCTATGTTTAACCCCATGTTGAAGGTTACTGTTGTTGAAGGTAGCAGGAATGTTGATAAACAGGTGGAGCTGCAAACTCTCAACGAGAGTGAGTTTGGGCACCAAGGTGGAGAAGATCAACATGGTGAGGATGTCTCTGCAGAGCCAGAAACTTCGGGGTCCAGTGCACGAGCTAAACAGTGTATTCCTTCCAGTAGACCGAAGAGAGCGACTGCAGGAGTACCTCCACAGAGGTATGGCTTCGAGGACATGGTGGCGTATTCATTTCAGGTTGCTGAGGAAGTGGATGCAGGAGAGCCACAGTCCTATGGAGAAGCAGTTTCGGGTGGTGAAGCTGATCAGTGGCTTGCCGCAATGGGAGATGAGACGAAATCCCATGACAGGAATCAGACTTGGGAGCTAGTCATACGACCACAGGGAAGGAAAATTGTGACAAACAAGTGGATCTACAAGAAGAAGGAAGGAATCACTTCTAAAGAGGGCATGAAATTTAAATCTCGGGTGGTTGCACGAGGCTTCTCGCAGAGGGAAGGAGTTGACTACAATGAGATTTTCTCACCAGTGGTCAGACGTACTTCGATCAGAGTGCTACTAGCAATAGTGGCACATTCTGACTTGGAGCTCGAGCAGCTAGACACGAAGACAGCTTTCCTGCATAGAGAGTTAGAAGAAGAAGTTTACATGACTCAGGCAGAAGGATTCGAGGTTCCGAGAAAAGAAGACTATGTTTGTAAGCTGAAAAAGTCCTTGTATGGACTTAAGCAGTCTCCGAGGCAGTGGTACAAGAGATTTGACAATTACATGCTTGAGCTGGGCTACAACAGAAGTCCATATGATTGTTGTGTGTATCACAACAAGGTGGAGGATGGTTCGATGATCTATCTTGTTCTGTATGTGGATGATATGCTCATAGCTGCGAGGTCGAAGTCTGATATCCAGAAGTTAAAGGGGCTTCTCAGTGCTGAGTTTGAGATGAAGGATTTGGGAGCTGCTCAGAAGATCTTGGGTATGGAGATTTACAGGGACAGGTCGAAGAAGAAGCTTTTCTTGTCACAGAAGAGCTACATCCAGAAGATTCTGTCGAGGTTTGGCATGTCTTCAGCAAAGCCCTTAAATACTCCTACTGCTTCAAATGTTCATCTATCCTCAGCTTATGCACCGCAGTCAGAGACTGAGAAGGAGTACATGTCGAGAGTCCCATATGCTAGTGCAGTAGGTAGCTTGATGTACGCTATGGTATGCACTAGACCTGATCTTGCACATGTTGTTAAGGTTGTCAGCAGATTTATGATACAACCTGGGAAGGAGCATTGGCAGGCTATGAAGAGGATCTTCCGGTACCTTAAGGGTACACCTGATGTGGGGATTAGCTTCGGAAGTGATACAGAGTGCTTGGTGTCTGGGTATTCTTACTCGGACTATGCTGGAGATGTTGACACGAGGAGATCGATGACCGGTTATGTATTCACTCTTGGGAGTTCTGTAGTGAGCTGGAAGGCAACTCTGCAGTCAGCGGTGACATTGTCTACTACGGAGGCAGAGTATATGGCGTTGACAGAAGCTTCTAAGGGGGGAATATGGTTGAAGGGACTGGTTGGTGATCTTGGTCTACATCATGATCAGGCAGTGGTGTATTGCGTCAGTTTGAGTGTAATATGTTTGGCCAAGGATCAAGTCCACCATGAGAGGACTAAACACATCGACGTGAGGTATCATTTCTTGAGGACAGAGAAGAGGATTAAGTTGAAGAAGGTTGGCACCGCGGATAATCCTGCTGATATGTTCACAAAGCCGGTTCCACATGGCAAGTTCCAACACTGCTTGGACTTGCTTAATGTCTTGAGTGGGTGACTCCGCCCTACAGGGGCATTGATGGCGGGAGAAAGAGAAGGAGCAGAGTACATCAGAGATTTCAGAGGAAGAAGATTCAAGTCAAGGTGGAGATTTGTTGATGTGACTTGAATTGGACTATCAGCCGCTACGACTGGTAATCGTGTTAGTGAACCACGTAAATCGTATGTCTGTGTTTTTCGATTCTCGCTTTCGTATTCTTGCTTTATCGATTCCGGCGAATTCCCGATCTATAGCAGCGCGTTTATAACAATATATATTGCAAATCAAAGTGAAACAAACCGAAAACTCGGCGGCTAGTAGCGTGCGCACGAACGATATCACCCTCGCTAAACTAGTCTCGGTACATGAACCCAAACTTGTATCTATCAACCACATAAACAAAGAAGAATGGTGTGTTGGTATCAAAGCGATGTGTCCTAGCAACAGGAAGCGGGATAGGGTAGCCGAGCCCATCGAACCAGGTGCGGTTGCCGTCATAGTAAGCAATCATCGTCACGCCGCCGTCCGGATGCGTCGTCTTCACGAACCACCAGTTTTGCGTATCGAATGCCCCGAAGCCCGAAGAGAAGAGATAAATCTTAGGGGGAGGCTTCCAATCTATAGGCTCCTCATCCACCAGTTGCACCATTGTCGTCGGGAACCACGTGGAGGCGTCAATGGCGTATGGCTCGTACTTGAAAGTAGTATCCCAATGGGAGAAATATGGCGTGCGCCTCAGAAGTCCCGACCACGTATCCAGCGGCACCGGCTGTCTTCGGCTCCTGAGAACCGTGTCGTTCGAAAAGTATCGTGTCGTGGCTGTTATCGCCCACGATTGCTTGCGACGTTGCTGCTCCAGCTCGTGTTCGTCCTTCTCTTTTCTCAGCGTCTCGAGTTCGTCTTTCTTTTTATTCGCCAGCCTTCGCAGCTCCTCGTCCTTCTTCTCCTCCAGCTCTCGTAGTTCCGCCTCGTGCTTTTCGCTCGCCCCCTCCATCTCCTCCTTCAGCTTCTGAAGCTCATCGTCCTGTTCCTCCATCTCCTCCCTAAGCTTCTCCAGGTCCTCCTCCTTCTTTTTCAACGTTCTCTTTAACTCCTCGTATTTCTCCTTGCTCACCCCTCCTGTCGTCGCTGTCGTGGCAGGCTGCTTCTCCCGACTCGGCATGGTGTATTTCAAAAGGCAGCGTGGCCACGTGGTGAGGCCCGCCATGCTGACCCCATGAAAGGGCTAGTTGAAAAGATCGTTCAGTCGGAGATAGTGAATTCCAAAGTCTTTGTGTTCCCCCAGTTCGGTGACATCCTGAAAACAGTGCCCTTGTGGGCTCACCATCAGTCGCAGCCGAGCCAGGTGCTGGGCCAGCTTGGTCAGGACCTCCCTTCCCTTGATATCTGCCTGACCGTCGAAGAACATCATCCCGTCGTAGGATGACTCATTCGTTCCTGAACTACTATAGTTGTCACCTTCATCACTATCATAGTGATCACGGGGAATGATGTTGCCAACTTCCTTCCAGTGAGCCTTTCGGATGTAAGAAGGGTAAATGGTTGGGTTGCTCAACTCGTAGACTTTGAGGGTACTTTTGTCAGAGGAAGCAACGAAGTGCTTGTTTGACTTGAAATCAAAGAGACGAACCATGCTAAATTACCTAGTTAGCTAATTAATATTCTCTTCTGGAGATGGTCGGAGACTAGGGATTTGGATTACTTAATGGCCTGGTGTGTGGATGCCATAGCTATATATATAGCCTTAGAATGACCATATCCGAGTATCTGACCAACCTCCCTCCCGCCCGCTTAACTTGAGAAAAAAAAAAATGAAAACTGCATCAATGAAGTTCACGGCAATTTCATTTGCCCGCGAGCCAAGTTTGAATTAGTAAACCAATCAATATTGTAGTATGATTTTGTTCATCCAATGCATATATAACGACAACACCACAACAACCAGTCAAGTTGTTTTCTTCTGGCCTTCTTATTTGATTAGATATACGAAGGATTAAGAAAGACTTCAGTTCCTTTTAACAAACAAGTCTTTGTATTATGTTCTGGATCCAATTCTAGATCACAATTTCGTAACAAATCAAATATATTCATGTATGAACTCGCCGAAAATGATAACATATTCAAATGGATATATGCACCTACTAGCCAATAGACTTCTTTCTTTTCCATCGGTCTATATATGCTCTCAGATCTCAATACTTATTGGCTTGGTTTCATTTTTTTTTCTTTTTTTATTTTAACAAACAATTCCTCGATTTGACGGGGAGACAAGAATAAGTTGGAAAGAACAAGCATGACATGAATTTTTCTTGACAACTGACATACCTGAGCATTCGGTTGAAGATGGTTTTGTTATTGAATCTATGTACTATGCCCTATAGGATTGCAATGGGAAAAAAATGTACGTGCATCCATTGCCAACTTCATGAATTAAACCAGACAAGCTATCAATGTACTATATGACTCTAGTTTCTCAAATGAGACAACACATCAGTCATCACAAGTTTTCTTGCACACAATCCAATTTATGTGTCTCATGCTCCTCTTGCATGGGTCTTATGGACGAAGATGCAAAAGGTTCGCAGCTTGAGGCCTCATGTACTAATAGAGAGTTCGTTTGGTCATACCTCATGGTGACGGTGATTTAGAGGGAGAGGAGTTTTTCTTGACTTTCGAACCTTCGATGAACAGAGGGTTAGAGTTAAGAGAAGTAACCAGCTACTTCTTTCCTCTCTTCTTTCTCGAAGGAAATGTCCTTTGATCAGATGAATCAGAAGTATACCACTCCCATACTCAATATCTTGAGCAAGCATTTTCTTTTTAAACTTTTTGACTTTGTCCCTGGTTAGTGAAGGGTTCATGCACAGGAAAGAGCTAGGTCGAGTTTTGGAAGCAGAACGACCCCCTCAAAAATTGGCGCCACCTATGGTCGCTATTTGTTGAATCACTATACCTAGTTCTTAGACTCCAACCCCCGAACATAAACACACACACAAATTTACCCGAGCCAAATTTAACTGGTTGAACCCGATTTTGATATTTTCCCAAAACTCCAAAACTTGTGTGTATTCAAGCCGTTTAGATGGCCGGTTACTGTTGGACCCGGTTGAATCGATGGAAGCATAAGGGTTTAACAATCTTGCTCTACACAATATACTTTTGTTTTCATTCAAATAGATGTCATTCCGATAAATCATGATTAATATTTTTTCATTGAAATATATAGTCCTCTTTTCCTTCGTTTTCTTTTTTTCGTCTTCTTGATGAATATGCATATAATTAATTATAAGGAAATAGAGTCTTTGTTTTATCAGGTCAATGGCCGATCGAAAATTAAAAGGAAGCTTCATGGAGAGGATGATCGAGTATATATATATGGGTGTATTCTACGTTACTCTGGGTGAAATCTAGGGTACCCATACCTTGAGTATGCAAATGTTATCTAGACCTCGAATTAGCAGGATTTTTGAACCTGATACTATACCATAACCCTTAATAAGTGAACCCTAGTTCCTAATTATCTAAATTATAAACTATAAACCCTAAGATGGTGCATTCATTTTTGGCATTTATTTGGACGAATCGTAACCGTCAATTATTTTGCTAATTAAATTAATTTTGGAGTATTAGATTTAGAGAACTAAGACCTAGATTTTGATCTTTAAGGGTTAGAGTATAGTATTATGTCCGAAAGATCAGTCAATTCATGTTCTGAATAGCGTTTTCATACTCAGGGTATGTGGTACCCTCGATTTCACCCTGGGTTCCATAGAACTCCCCATATATATGATGACTATATATATACACATGCTTTTGTCCATCATTCCTCTACCGTTTGAGTCTCATCTCATCTCTCGTGTTTTAGTACGGTTTCATGTTAGGTTATTCTTGTTTGTGATATTTCAGTTCCTAGTACGTGAAGGAAGGTTTGGGCACGAGTTCAGCGTCGATTGGACGAAGTTGGAACGATTGACGAAAAGCTGGGGAAACCACACGACCATACCTAAATACCACACGGCCGTGTGACGTGGCCGTGTGGAACCCCTTTGCGCGAGCAAACCACACTGGCAGTGTAAAGGGTCCTTTGTGGCCGTGTGAAATTCCCAAAGAGCTCACATGGGCAGGCCATGATTTCACACGACCGTGCGGTTCTGGCCGTGTAGCGTGCATAAAGGCATTTAAGTGAAATGCGACGTTTTATACTTCCATACGCGCAGCTGGCAATTCTACACAGTAGTGTGGTCTGGCCGTGTAGTCGCAGAATTCTGAGTTTTAACCCAATTTCGGGTCTTTTGAAGGGGGATTGATTTTCAGAGCTAGAAACAGAGTCTTAGAGAGAGAAAGTGCGAAGGACACACCCTAGAGGTGATTTTGGAGTTGGGTTTCATCAATCAAGCTTGGATTTCATCCTTGGGGTGAAGATTATCATCCCATAGCAAATTCTTCCCATCTTGATGAGTATGACAGCTTTATATTCTGTTTTTCTCTCTCTCTCTCTATGGAGTAGAACCCTCTCTCACTTGGATATGAAGAACCCTAGTTCCATGGGTTAGGGATATCGATTGTAATGAGGTTTGAATTGTGATACTGCTGGATTATAATCGATTGAAGTGTTTTGATTGAGTCAATTGAAGCCTGATTCTCTTGTATTTATTTCTGCTGCAACCTGAGATAGATAGAATCTGATTAGGTTATTGTTGAAACGTGAAAGTATGTTATTCTAGCTTTTTCTTCACTGCATTCTCTCTTTTCCACCTTTGTGCCTTCACGGGTTGTGTTTGCATTCTGGGTGCAGGGGTAGTGCATGACCCGTAGTCAGTCAGGAGACTTACTACCGTTAGACTAAGAGTTTGAACGGTCTTGTAGGAATTTCAAGCGAGCTTTAAAGGCGCGACAGGCTGCGGAGGAGGCTCTAGCACAGCTGCAGATCAACCAGGAGGGAGACATGGGTGAGCCTCAAAACAACGATGTGGTTGTCCCGGATGAGCACACCATGGGATATTACTGGTCCGCCAAAGCCGCGGACATGAGGTCGCCCATCCAGCACCCTCAAGTTAATTGGGTAATTGGTTTCATTGGTTAGCAGCGTTGAAACTAAACCAAACCACCTAAACTAAACAAGCTAAATTATTTAACCAAACTAAACCAATTCTCCAAATTAACCAAACCAAATTAACCGAATGCTACTGGTTAATATGGTTACCACGGTAACCAATCCGTTTGTACACCCCTACTTGCATGGGTCTTATTGACAAAGCTGGAACCATGTACGCAGTTTGATGCCTGGTGTACTCATAGAGAGTTCGTTTGGTCATACCTCATGGGGACGGGGATTTAGAGGGAGAGGAGTTTCTCTCGACTTCCGAACCTTCGATGAACAGTGGGTTAGAGTTAAGAGCAGCAAGCAGCTGCTTCTTTCCTCTCTTCTTTCTAGGAGGAGATGTCCTCTGATCAGTTGAATCAGAAGTATACCACTCATATACTCAATACCTTGAGCAAACCTTTTTCTTTTTAAACTTTTTGACTTTCTCCTTGGTTAGTGAAAGGTTCATGCACAAGAATGTGGTCGAGTTTTGGAAGCAAAACGACCCCCTCAAGAATTGGCGCCCCCTATAACAGAAATTTGAAGGATTTCTATCGCTATGGTCCCTATTTGTTGAATCACTATACATAGTTCTTGGACTCCAGCCACGAATAGTAACACACACACAAATATTTACCCGAGCCAAATTTAACTGGTTGAATCGATGGCCGGATAAGGGTTTGACAATCTTGCTCTACACAGTATACTTTTTTTCCCTTCAAAGTGGATGTCATTTTGGTAAACATGATTAATATATATATTTTTTTCCATAAAGAATTGAATTCTAATTTAAAATGAAAAATATACAGTCCTTTAAATTTTAATGTTGAACAAATTGTTTATTGTCCAGATTGATTTTGGATCCACCAACCGAGCACAAAGGTCATTTGAAATCTTTTTAACAACTATATTAGTTTGAATATTTTGACTAATACAGGAAATGGAGCCTCTTTTTGTTTCGTTTTGCTTGATGAATATGCATATAATTAATTATAAGGCGAATGATGAGTCTTTGTTTATCAGGTCAATGGCCGATCGGAAATTAAAAGGAAGCTTCAAAGATAGGATCATCGAGTATATATAAACGGCAGGGATGATGGGTCGAAATCCATTCTATTCTCTATCCATTCCAAGCTCGTACGATTCTCCGATGATGTCCATCGACAGTAGTAGAAGAATCATGATGGCTTCGTCGGCCAACGATGTGTTTACAGCGATTTGCGGTGGCACATTTGTGTACCCGGCGGTCATGTATGAGCAGTATCAAGACATCCGGGTGACCAACCGAGACGGTGTTACACCCGGTTCGATTCGGGAGATCACTTACGGACATGGTAAGTACTTATTAATCATTTTTAATTATTATATTTTTGTTTTTAACTTGCAATTAATTATTATCTATATATATATATGATGCAGCCATCTCACGTATGGTTTCACGGGCGACCGAGGAAATCACCCGGATTGACCACACGAGTCGAACCATTGAATCTAGGTTCAAGCCCGATGGTGCTTTCGTGGGCAGGTTCTTTCGTTCGGCCTCCTTGGTC